GAAAGTCCAGCTTCCCGAAGTCCCACTGTACGGCCCCTATCAAACTCACTAAGTTGACGAAATCGTACAGGTCTCCGTACTCTAGGCATCGTAACCGATCGTAAAGGATGTCAAGAACCAAAATCCGCCAACGTTGATTCTTTACTGCGGCTGAAATATTCATTTTTAGAGCGTTAGTGAATTAAAAAAAAGCAGTATAAATACAGGAATGTCCAACTGATAAGGCTGACCAACTGACTTTTAAAAATTATTTTTCTAATACCGCAAGTCTTGCTAAATGAACGGTTAGAGCTCCACCCGAAGCTAATAAGCCTATTCGTAAGCTGAACACAACGAAAGTTTGTTAAATAATTATCGAAATAATATAGTAATAAGTCAACTTGCTGCCTATACGAGTTTTTTGCTATTGTTTTGATGTACGATCTACGCCAGAAATATGGGCACATTTTTCTGGTACACCCTGTAGGCATGTTAAACACACGTGGCGAATATCACATAGTGCGAGATCCGTCACGTTAGGAATTCGGTGATGAAGCGAACTAACTGTACTTGGAGGCACGGTGCTGTACGAAATGCTCCTCTAATTACCTCCATTCCCATCTAGGTCAAGATCGTAAACGCTGCTTTTGAAAAGTAAAAACGACCGTTACTTTTCAGCACGTGAATATACTTGGACAGTTTGTCGGTGGAAGAAATACTTGACACGGTCGAGTCCTCTTTTCGTCTAATGTCAACAGAAACGTTAATGTATGGCAGCCGTAATAACATGATGTATGCGCTTGGGATTTTAGTTATTATGCTGACCTATCAAGCATTCGAAAAAATATCTTGGATTGATTTGCTACAAATAGCCTGACGTCAGGTATAGGTTTCAAAAAATATATACGGACGCAGGAAAGTAAACGCATATTAAAACAAGAAAGATTGATATTCAAATTAAGTTGGGTACTTTATTTTGAAGGTTCATTTATACCATTTATGTATGAAAAATAATGTCGCTCAAATGTTCACCACGACTGGATTTACAGACGTCCACGCGATGGTCGAAATTTTCAATGACATTTTGCAACATGGTCGGTTCTATGGCATTTATCTCGGCAATGATGTTGTTTTTGAGTTCTTGGGGGGTGGCTGGTTTGTTGACGTAGACTTTGCTTTTCAAATATCCCCATAAAAAGAAATCCAAGGTAGTCAAATCGCACGATCTTGGTGGCCATGGCACATTTCCTCTGCGCGAAATCACGCGATCACCGAAGAAGGACTGCAATCGATGGATATTGACGTTGGTTGTGTGGCATGTTGCACCGTCTCGTTGGAAATAAACATCGTCCATATCCATTCCTTCAAGTTGCGGCAAAAAATAGTCCTCTATCATCACGTGATATCGCTCAGAATTGACGGTAACGGCGTCCCCGGCCGTATTTTCGAAAAAGTAAGGTCCGATGATGCCTTTTGACCACAATGCACACCACACAGTTACTTTTTGACGATGCATCGGCTGCTCTTGATACTCACGGGGATTTTCGTTCGCCCAGATGCGGCAGTTTTGCTTGTTTACCGCCCCATTCAAAGTGAAATGCGCTTCGTCGCTGAACATGATTTTTGATGAAAAATTGGCATCAATTTGGCGGTGTTCAAGGAGCCAATCTGAGAACGTTCGGCGCGAAAAATGGTCGGCCCGACGCAGCTCTTGCGTCAATTGGATCCTGTAGGCGTGTACATTCTAATCCTTGTGGAGAATGCGGAGCAAACTGGTTCTCGAAATGCCCAATTCTTGGGATCGACGCGTTGTTGATTGTTTCGGCTCGTCTCTCACACTCTCCTTCACAACAGCAATATTTTCCGGTGTGCGAACGCTCCTTGGCCGGCCAGAGCCTGGCAGATTTGCCACAGAACCTGTTGCCTCGAATTTACGCACCAGACGACCGATGGTTGTTTCGTTTGGGCGGTTGTTGCGACCGAAATGTTCACGAAGCGCGCGAAAAGTGTTTTTTTTTATTTTTGCACCATTTTTGTAGTGCTCTTGAATAACTTTAATGCGGTCTTCAATCGAATACGACTCCATAGCGATCAATGGTAAACATTCAACTAACAAAATGACATGTCGGTGACAGAAAACAAAGATGGCGTCTATGTCAAATTGACGTTTACTTTCCTGCGTCTCTATTGGACATTTAGTATCAGTTTTTTTGGTCTAATAGAACAAACAACAATGATTTAAGATCTGCTTAAAAAAGTGTCTAGTAGCATATTGACGCTGACTTCAAATCAAGAATTCAGTTGATTCCGATGCAGTCAAACCCAGTCACAGATTATTAGCTACACTACAGACAACACTCTCTTCTATGATTTAACACCGCCATCTGACGATTGAACCGAACACTAACAGATAACAAACTAAACTATATAAAACGACGATTGTTTACAGGATTCTGATCAGTGACCCTTAGCCCATCTGTAATCCTCGAGTTGCATTATACTTATAAACAAATGTGTAGAGGGTATTTCCATCCACTTTTATTCTACAAAATAACACACAACATGTAAGTAAATACATGACGTTTAAAAAATGGCGTCAGGTCTATAACTTTTGTTACTATGTTCGCCTTGAATCCAATTTTTTTTTTTCAAAAAAGGCATTCAAAATGTCGTCCTCCACTTTCCACACAAGCTTCATTACGACGAGCCCAGTTTCTTCTTACTCTAGGTCCTCGAAGTTATCCATTTATTATTTCAGCCGCATTAAAAATTTGTTCGCGAAGTTGTGCCTTAGTGGTTATTGGACCAGCCCCATAAACCATCCCTTTAAGTTCTCCCCAATACCAGAAATCCAACGGATTGAGGCCAGGAGATCTTGCTGGCCATTTTCGAGTATCAGGAGCATTTCGACCGATCCATCGATTTGGATAATGTTCATTCAAATACTGAATGACGTCTCTAAAAATGTGTGGTGGTGCCCCGTCATGAAGAAACCACAAATTCTGTCTCCGTTGTAATGGCATGCTGTCTAAGGTCTGTTCAAAAAGTTCTGGTTGGTTATTAGCTAGAAAGCTAAGGTATCCTTCTCCTGATAACTTTGGGGGTAACTCGGAAGGGCCAATTACCTGATCGTCAAGAACACCCGCCCAAAGTTTATTTTAGAACGTTGTTGGAAATGACCTTCATGAATGGTATGAGGATTTTCTTAGGCCCACTGTGAGTATTATGGAAATTTAATATTCCGTTACATTGTAAATAAACACGACGACGTACGCGAACAATAACTACAGTATATTCAGATAAGAGATAGACCGGATGTAAACAAAAGGTTCGGGTGATTTTCACGCTAACGCCTCCGTCTCGACGTAAAACAGGAGCCCTCATTGGTCAATTCGCAATTAAATGCCTATGCCGAGCGGCAGAGCAGTCGTATCAAGGCAGAGTCACATTCAGGTTCAGACGTGTTACGTATGTCGTGTGCATCATTGCAATTTGATATTTCTTTGGACGTTTTCGTTTGTTATCTTATTAAGTTGTTGAGTTTGTCGTTGTTATTGTTATACCTTGTTATTGATTGTTATTGTTATCAACTGCTTGCGCAAAATGCCCAGTAGTACAGATACTGCCGATGAAGTTGTAAACTCCTGTAGTCCACCTGGGAAACGCTCTAAAAAAAGACACCTGAGTGCAGAAATGAAAGAGGTCATTTTGAATATATACTCGTATAACATCGAGCGCGAGGAGAACGAGGCATCAACCATCAAAGAAATTGTTGTGAAGGTTTCTCACAAAGTTGGGGTGTGTCGCGCATCAGTGTTTAATGTGTTAAGACAATACAAAAAAAATCACACCTTTTCTGAGCCAATGACCAGTAAACATCGCAAAAGTATTGTTAAATCATTGGATGAAGCTGATAAGCATGCGATTAGGAGGAAAGTGCATGAATTCTTCTTTAGGAATGAAATACCTACTATAGATAAAGTACTGCATGAGGTAAATGGAAATACAACGTTGCCAAATTTCAAACGATCAACTTTCCATGCGTTACTGAAGCATTTAAATTTCAAATGGAAAAAATGGGGTCGTAATAGTTTACTACTGGATAGAGAAGAAATTGTGCTATGGAGGAGGGATTATTTAACAAAAATTGGGAAATATAGAAATCAAAACAGGAAGATTTATTACCTTGATGAAACGTGGGTAAACGCAGGACACACTACAAGTAAAGTATGGGTTGATGATTCTGTAACTTCATCCAGGAGGGCCTTTCTAGATGGACTGTCCACCGGATTAAAAAATCCAGCAGGTAAATACGAGTAATAGACAACAATCGGATGTTTTTCAAACCTTGGGAACAAGGTTCTAAAAATTAAGTCCAGGGGGCAGATAAAACATATTACAAGTAACAAAACTTTTATAACTTTCGATAAAATGCGTGGATGTTTTATTGTCATTTTCATTTGTTAGAACTTTTTTAAGCCATGTTTTTATGTGTTTTCGATATTTCAATAATTTTTTAATATAATCTTAAAATACATATGTCGAATATTATAAACTTAAAAAAAGTTACTAAGTTTTATATTATGTACCGTTCCTAATATTTCTAATCATTTCAATTCATACTTTAAGCTTTATAAAGTCATAATTTGTTAATATTAATATTTGCGCGTATTTCAGGTTCCTGATCATTCATTTTTTAAAGGTTTATAACTTTAAATTAAATTGTGAAGCGCTGAGTAATCATACCGTCGTCCATACCGCAGACAGGCGTATCTGACAAAAAATCAAATTCGAGTTAACGGATTCAAATCAACAAGGTATAGCATATCTTCAATCCCGCAAAGTGGCGTAACGCTAAGTAGTTCGCTCATAGAGATATCAGCATAAAACTAAACGTCGTATCTCTCAGAAATAAAATACAATACACCGCAAATAGGCGTAAATGAAGATACGCCTACATGCGGTGTCCATTTTTTGATACTCTCTCAGTGGTAACTAAGATATGTCCTTTTGACTTACAGAATACATTTTGTCCGAATTGAGTCACACCTCATCTGAAAGCGATCCCTTTACTGCAGCCGAGATTTATAATCCGGAAGATCCGGACTATCATCAAACTTGTGAAGTTAAAAGCTGTAAAGGAGATGTGTTCAGTTCCTGCTTTCAATGCTCAATTTTGTTATGTTGGAAGCATTTTGAAGATGATACCCTATCCTGCCAGGACGGACACAGGACAGTACAGAGCAGTGTACTTAGCAAAGAGAAACAGGAAGAGAGGCGCCCTGAAGATTTTTTTGTAGAAGGTTCCCAGGCAGAAGGTGATAGGAAAAAAAGTCAAAGAAGATAAAAGAAGAATTGCAAAAACGTTGAGGAATCAAGGCGAAACATATATTTCGCCTGTAACTAAGAAAATTGTGAAGGAGAAAGCGCTTTTGTATTATCTGAAAACCCAAAACATAGAACTACAAATAGCAATGCTCCACGCCGTTAGCAAACACATTATTTTTTCTTACCTCTAGAAGGTATCCGACAATTAGTTTGTTAAAAAATGTTCCTTGGGACCCTTGGGATAAGTGAGAAAGTTTGCAGAACCGCAATAAAGAAATTGAATAGAATAACGAGTGTGCTAGAAAAAGAAAATCGTGGAGGTCGACGGGAGTTACAATCATCAAGAGACATAGTCATTAGAAAAAGTATTATATACGTAGAGCACATAAATAGGTTCCCCAGAGTAGAGTCACATTACTGCCGGAAGTCCTCAACTAAACAATACCTATATGAAGATTTATCTCTGAGTACAATGTATCACATGTACAAACTGGAAGATCAACAAACAAAGGGAAGTGTTTCTTTGTATAGAAAAATTTTCAGATCCATGAACTTCTCATTTCACAAACCAAAAAAAGATCAATGTGGTCTTTGCAAGTGTTACAGAGAAGGATCGGAAGATGTAAAGGCTAATTTGGAAAAGGAGTACTTGGCCCATATTTTAGAAAAGGAAACGGTAAGAGAAATAAAGAATAGCTGCAAAGAAAAAGCTAAAAATGATACAAAGGTGCTACGTTTGATCTCCAACAAGTTATATACTTAAAAATTTCTAATCATTGTTCCGTATTTTATAAAACACGGCTTGCTGTCTACAATCTAACTATCTATGAAGTAGCATCTCGAGAATGTTTTTGTTATACATGGAGTGAGACTGAAAGTAAACGTGGTAGCTCGGAAATATCGACTGCTGTTTATTTATTTATTTCCGAAAAACACAAACAAGGCTGCAATACTGTTGACTTATTTGCTGATGGTTGTAGTGGCCAAAATAAGAATTCGATAATGGCTACCACTCTTTTATATCTTGTCAGTAATTGCTCAAACGTTAAAGAGATATCGTTAAAAATTTTTGCCTCTTGTCATGGACAAAATGAAGGCGATTCAGCACATAGTGCAATAGTTACGCTTTGAAAAATGCAGGTGAAATTATTGTGCCGAGCCAGTTATTGCCAGTCTATGCATTAGCAAGGAAGAAACAGCCATATAAGGTTCGTCCCTTAGACTATCGTAATTTTTTTGACCCCAAAAAACTCGCATCAGACTTAAGAGTATTATCTATTCGAAAAGATGATAAAGACATAGATGTGAATTGGAAAAATATGATGGAATTCAATGTGACAAGTGATAATTGCAACAAAATCTATTTCAAGACTAGCCATAAGCAAACAAACTACAGGTCCATAACCTTGAAAAGAAATGTTTCCGATATTTTAAAAAAAAGAGCTGTCTCCTCTGAATAGCGACCTATGAAAAATCACAAATTAAAAATATAATGATTTGACCTCACTTTGCCAAGGCGATAGGCCTGCCATCACTCTACCAGAACATCAACGTTTTTATGATTCACTACCTCATGAGGACCAGCCATAAATGTTTTTGTATGAAATCATCTTCTTATTTTTGTTCTGTATTATCCTTGAGTTGCTTGAGTATTACTTACATCTGAGAATAAGGTGTTTTTTTATTTAATCTTATTTTATTCCATATGGAGTGAAAGGCGTATCTTCAAACCGCTAGACTATTGTAATTGTCAAGGTTACCGCAAAGAGGCGTATCTGGAAAATAAAATATAAAAAAATGTTTAGCTGAGAATATGAATTTCCTTTCCTCTATATACTTCTCAGAAGATGATGAACACACTATTTAGCTATGTTATTGGAAGAAATTATGCTCATATTGTCTAAAGTAGTAAAGATATATGACATCAAATAACTGTCGATATTCATTTCGCTTCTACTGAAAATTTATATAAAATCAGTTACGCCTGTTTGCGGTACGGACGACGATACGACGTTCAATATTCTTTCTTTCAATATGACTAAATAATCCCAATTATAGCAATCTGATACTCATGTCTCAATGTTTTTTCGCTGAATGTGATGAAAACATTTGAAAAAGGTTCGCTTATTGAAATAAATCTACACCAGTTAGTACTTCGATTTCCAGGTAAAGGGAAAAGGCTCATTATCTGCCATATTGGCAGTGAGGATGGATTTGTTGTTGACGGTCTGTGGTGCTTTGAGTCTAAGAAAACTGGAGATTACCACGAGGAAATGAATGGCGAATCGTTTGAACAGTGGTTTTCAAAAATTGTGTTGGATAATGCGCCTTATCATTCTCGAAGAATGGAGAAGGTCCCAACAACGGCTTCAAGGAAAGTTGATGTTCAAAATTGGCTCCGCTCGAAAAATATCAACTTTGAAGAAGCAATGCTGAAAGTACAATTATTAAGAATTGTCAAGGATCACAAGGCGGAATATCAAAAATACGCCATTGACGAAATGGCAGCAAGTCAAAATAAAACTGTGCTCCGTTTACCTCCATACCATTGCGAGCTCAATCCCATTGAGCTCATATGGGCAGAGGTTAAAAATTATATAGCTAAGCACAATACAACTTTTAAATTTTGTGACCTCAAAGGACTTTTCAAAGAAGCACTAGAATTAATAACAGCGCAAAAATGGGAAAACTGTATTAAGCACGTGAAAGACAAAGTTGAAAAGAGAATGTGAGAACTGGACAATATTTTAGAGGAACAAGTCGAGCCATTCATTATTGACGTTGGTGCTTCAGGCAGTAGCGATGATGAAAGCTCATCAAGCTCATCTTTCCAATAAAAGATGTCGTTCATCAAATTCGGTAAGTTATAATTAATTATAAAGCTACTGTATTTTTTAATTAATTATTGACATTTTTGAACCCATTTTGGCAAAACCTATTCAAGAATCTACTTTCTGACAATGTTCAACCATGCACATTTTTTTACGTTTTGATCGTTTTAATTTGGTTACATATTTACCTAGAAATCAAAAAATATACTAATCAATATTCTAAAAGCAATTTTAATAGATATACGATTATTTTTAATTTAGGCTAATTTAAACGATATTTTGAGATTATATTCGACTGTATTTCACCAAACATCAGGCGGCATCCGAAGCTGGAAATCGAAGCGAAAATTTTGAAACCCTTATGTATATTTACATCATTATATATTTCTTACCCCACCCCCACATGATCCTATATCCATCACCAATCGTATACACATCGAATTGTGCTAATTTACTACAAAGTTACGCAAAGCAGCATCTACTATCTAAAATATGTACTGCGTGACTCTTAATACGTCCCTGCCGAATGTTACAGCGTTCGATGATCACGTGGTCTTGTTTATGTCCGGTCTATCTCTTATCTGAATATACTGTAACCACTGTTACCGTTTGCGATCGATTGCCGGTTCGATAAGGGTGATGAATGACCGACGCGCTGTTGTCATGTGTGTTTTAAATATTCAATTTAATGAACTTAATGCCATTTATTTGATAGTTACCCAATTTAAAAACGTTTTAGATTATAAAAATTAGTAAGGTTGTGGTCGATATAAAGCACTTAAAGTTGTAAACTATAAAGCCATTTAGACAAAAGTCCCATGGGTCATATGAACTTTTTTGCCTGGTTTTGACCCCCCCCCCTATTACCCATTCCAATAATGACCCCCATAACGTTTACACCCTGTATGACGCATTTTAACGGTTACAACAAAGTATTTCAGCAGTCTACTAGTGACTCGTTCCTCGTTGGATATTCCTAACGTTCTTATAACAATCTGCAACGTCGCATAAAATGTGAACGTCATAGTCAATGAACTTGCGATTTCGAAACTGCAGTTGGCAGTCCAAAGGCCACACCACCGAAAGAACCCGATGTCGCTTGCGCCTTCCGCAAAAGTCAATGGCTCGCTCGCCTATATAAATATAAGTTATTCGAGAAAAGTCCGCGGCGACGTTGCGCTTTCGGCGTCGAAATGGCACTTTCTCCTTCGATGCGGAGAATTCACGATGCACCAAGAAACTACGATGTCGCTACAAGGATTATTCAGGTTCGGATACTTATCAAGCTGAAAAAAACCTGGTACTACATGCAGGGTGTCCCATTATTTCGTGGAGATAGCAGTGCCTCGTAGTCTTAGAATAAAATAAGTCAATTGGACATGATTTGCCTATAAGAAAAAGTGCTTTGCTTGCCCGTCAAAGGCACTGACAAAAATGAAGTAAATATACGTCTACGTATGTTTATCGGATTTTAATAATCTTTGGCATACGGTAATCTCAATAGATTACTCTAAAGCTTTCGATGAGATCAATAACCAACTCTTGCTTTCCAAATTACATTATATTGGACTTGATAATGTGAGTATTCAGTTTTTTAAAACTATCTACTGTATATTCAGATAAGAGATAGACCGGACATAAACAAGACCACGTGATCATCGAACGCTGTAACATTCGGCAGGGACGTATTAAGAGTCACGCAGTACATATTTTACGTAGATAGTAGATGCTGCTTTACGTAACTTTGTAGTAAATTAGCACAATTCGATGTGTATACGATTGGTGATGCATATAGGATCATGTGGGGGTGGGGTAAGAAATATATAATGATGTAAATATACATAAGGGTTTCAAAATTTTCGCTTCGATTTCCAGGTTCGGATGCCGCCTGATGTTTGGTGAAATACAGTCGAATATAATCTCAAAATGGCGTTTAAAATAGCCTAAATTAAAAATAATCGTATATCTCTTAAAATTGCTTTTAGAATATTGATTAGTATATTTTTTGATTTCTAGGTAAATATGTAACCAAATTAAAACGTTCAAAACGTAAGAAAATGTGCATGGTTGAACATTGTCAGAAAGTAGATCCTTGAATAGGTTTTGCCAAAATGGGTTCAAAAATGTCAATAATTAATTAAAAAATACAGTAGCTTTATAATTACTTATAACTTACCGAATTTGATGAACGACATCTT